CTGCCGTGCCGCTTCCGCGCTACGCCACGGCCGCCGACGAAAAGGCCGGCCTGGCGGCCGCGGACAAGAAGCAGCAGCCGCAGCCAGGCATGGACGCGCTACGCTCGCACCCACCCGCCGGCCCGGTGCGCAACTTTTCCCACAAGCAAAACGGGTCGAGCGCGGACGCGGCGGCGGCGGTGGAGGAGAACCCAGTCCGCCTGGACAAGGTCATGACGTCGCCGTCGTCGTCGTCGCCGTACTCGCCCGACAGCTACGTGACGCCGTCGTCGGCCACGTCGGCCACCCCGTTTTTCGCCCCCGGCCAGACGTCGGCGTTTTCCCCCGTGTCACCGCCATCGTCGCGCGCGGGGCTCGCCAAGCAGCCGTCGTGGGAGGGTCGCAGCGGCGGTGGCGGTGGTCTGCTTCGCTCCAAGGGGAGCAAGACGGACGTCCACGCCCCGGTGGCGTCTAGACAGTTCCAGACGACGTTTCCCCCGCCGCCGAAGCGATAAAGGCCGGTAAAGAAGTGCGTGGTGGAGTGGACGGCGGGATCCTTTTGGGGGAAGGGGAGGCTTTTCACGGTGGAAGGGTCGTTTTTTCTATATCCGTATATATTTTTTTCTTCGTGGCGTGTTGACAACAAACACAAGCGTCGCTCTCTAATACCAAGCAAGCACTGCAATACCCAAGTCTGCAATACTCAAGTTGTCAGCGACATGAATCCTGTGCCCAGCCCATGGACAATCACCAGCTTGGCTCGTGTAACATAATCACTTCAAACAAGTCCAGAGAAGGAGTGGTAGTAGTAATAGTAGTGGGTGGCGTCTTTCAGACACCGAGTCATAAAATATTGGTATTATCCCATCGTCATGGCCACCCCTTTCACCCACCCCCCGACGTCTATTTATCGTCGCGCTTATATACAAAAGTGCTCAAAAAAGTTTGTGATGCTTTGTGCTTCCCCCTTCTTTCCCCCCTCCGATCCCGGATTGAGTCGTTTCCGACAAGTTTTTTGCACCCCGGTGTGACTGGCTCAAGGTAGGACGCGCCTCTTCCTCCCTTCACTCCATGTGCAACTTGGCGTCATTTCCATCTTTTCCCCGTGGGTATTTGTGCTTCCCGTGTTAAAAAAAATCCCATGCTGTCCCACAATGATACGTAGACAAGAAAACAGACAACAAGAACAAGACAAAAACAAAAAAAGGATAAAAGAGCCCATCTCAGCCAAGCGCTCCAACTAGAACCGTGGAAACATACCAGAAGCAAGACATTCGTCATCCCGCGTGGCGCTGCAAAAACACGACACACTAAAAGTTGCCATCCATTGGAGTTGCAGCTCTGCTCGTAATCTCGGTATGTAGACGCTCATTATGTGACCTATACCACATCGTCCCTTCCTCAAGTTCCTCTCGCAGAATGCGCAAATCGTTGGCCACATTTCTAGCATCGCTCATGACGCGCTTGTGGCCGTTTGACGCCAATCCGTCGTCTAGCTCCATTGGCTCTGCGCTGCCCTCGCTTGCCCGCTTCCTCTTACTACCGGCCGAATCCTCAAATACAGCCAGAGGAGTCGCGCCGTTCCTAGCGCTCGAGAAGGGAGGCGGCGGCGGGATGCTGCTAATTGATGGCCGTCGGGATGACACACTGGCAATCGAAGAGGCTCTGTATGATGACCGGCTGAGAGGGTTAAATCGCCGGTCATTCATGAGGCTCTCCGGCACGGCAGTGCCGTCAGGGAGCTGGACGATGCCCATGGCTTTCAGTCGCCATCGCTCCGAGACCTTGCTGCTTCGCACGCTTTCGGATCTCGAATCTTCACTAGAGGCAATCGAGGGCAGAGAGCGGCGGAAGCATCCAGCACCCGAGCCAAGAAGTTCCTCTCGAAGCGCCCTAGTCTTGGAGCCTCCTCTCGAAACGGAGCTCGATCGTGACCGCGCTGGAGAAGACATACCGCTCTGGGATGCGGGCAGATTGAAGTGGCGCCCGATGGCCGCGGCAGAGTCTCTGTTTCCAATAACATCCACAGTGGATGGCGTCGGGGGCGGGATGAAGCGTTTCCTAGCCTGGCTTCGGCGGAGACCCTCCATAAGAGCCTGCTCGTGATTCGGCTGCGGAACGGGCGCAACTTTGGGCTGGGATTTGGGCGTGGCTTGTGGGATGCGTGAAGACCTCTGCTGAGCCCGATAAAAGTCCCTAAGCTGATCGCGCCCACTACGACGCAGAAACTTGAGGCGCTTTTCTCTTGCGTGAGTTTTCCACCGGTAAAAGTATCTCAAGGACAAGGAACGGTGCCTGAAGTCGTCTGCGGTAGCGTTGTCTCGCGCTTCCGCCTCGAGTCGCAGCTTCTCTTCTGCCTTCTGCTGCCAGCCCAGAAAGACGGGCGTGAGTAGTCCATCCAAGAAATGCTGCTGGAACTCGGTCATCAATCCACCATCACCCTCCACAAACCATCTTGTGAAGTCTAATAGTCGATCACGTTTGGGCTGTGGAGGAATTGGTGGTTGCGATGGGGCTGCAACTGACGGGGCTATAGCGGGCGGAGTTGTGCTAGCTAGAAACGCCGGAGGATTTGACGGGGGAGTGAATGAATTGACGGTTGAGTTTGGCTTGCTTGTCGGTGCAAACACCCCTAGCTGGGTTGGCGTTTTCGTAAATGCAGATTGTGTGATTGGACTTGCTTGCGTGGGTGAGCCTGGCGGGGTCGAGCTCTTGGCCGCCTCAGGTGGCTTATTCTGCTGCGGTTGCGGTGCGAGGCCAGCGAAAGCGGGCAAAGTACTCTGCGGCATAGATGATGCCACTGTCGGGGCCGTCGACGCCTCTGGGTTAAAGCCGGAGAAGCCCGAAGTAGGCAAAGGCTTAGCCGGCGAAGCAGTAGCGGTGGTGGTCAAAGGTTTTGGCGCGATTGGGCTGGCGCCAAAGCCAACAGAGGTCTTTGCATTGACTGCTGTTGCTGTTGCTGGAGCCTGCACTTGGCCTGTTTTCGTCTTTGCAAAATTTGTCTCCAATTTTGCGTCGAATTCGGCATCGGGACCTGGCTTGGCAGCAGAGCTCTCCTTGGCGACCGTCTCACTAGACACAGTCTGCGTTAATGAGGCCGGAGCTGTAGCAAATGGGTTGTTTTGCTGAGTGCTGCCAATGCTAGGTGCAGGCGTAGTTCTCTCAGCAGCGCTTTTATCAAACGTAGATGCTGAAGGTTGTGCTATTTTAAAAGGGGTTGCACCTTGCCCGAAGACCCTTGGTTTGTCTTGATCGGCTGCGGCCGTGGCTGAGAGTCGTTAGTCTTCTGAAGGTCTGTGAGGTCTTATTGGGATCGAACCTTTTGCCAGGGGGCCGCCCATCGTGTTTCCGTTTGTCGGTCTACCGAAACCGCTGAAGGGGTTATTCGAAGGCGGGGGCATGCTAAACGGCGGCTTCGCGGTTTCGTCTTGTACGAAGAGGCTGCCCTCCTGAGCAAGTGAGGTCTCCCGTTTCCCTGGTGTCGGCGTGTCTTTGAAAACGGTGTTCTGTATGACCTCGGGCAAGGACCGGGACCCTCGCTTGTCCTCAACAAGAGTCTGTGAAAACTGATGTGAGAGTCGGTGGTGCGGCAAACTCGATGAATTGTAGAGTATGGCACAACTGAGACTCGGATCTGCAGGGTTCTGCTGGCTGGGCTGGAACTCAATATCGTGTAGCCTGGCAAAGTCGATTGCCTGCTGTACCGTGTCGAATTGCAAGTGTCTGTTGAGTGCTGCTGCTGTTACATCCCGCGACGGTTCTCTCGGCCGTGAGAGGCCTTTCTTCAAGCAACGTAGGATCGAGCGGCGCAGCTGAGGAAAATGGCATTCTGCAAAGCACGCCATGGTGTAAGACACCGAACTATCCTTCACGATTGTAAAGTAGACGTTGTGAGCGCCACCTGCGGCGAGGGATGGGCCATCGACCAACGGACCATGAAAATTTGACGTATTCTGCAGAGCTTCGACCAGCGAAACCGCAGTTCTGATGATGTCAAAGTCCCAGAGACTCGGTTGCACATTTTCGAGAATATTAGGGTCGTTGGCGCGGAATAGCAAATGGTAAGCTCGAAACTCGGCCTCGTTCTCGCAGGGAGAGCCTTGTGCGTTACAGTCGTCGTATATGTCACGTAACGTCAAGAGAGCTTTACCCAGCTGCTCCAGCTCCTGCTGTTCCACAAAGTCTTCCGGCGCTTTTCCAGCTTCAGAGAGCAAGTGCAGAGCTGTGACGTGAAACCGTGCAATATCTTCCAGTACCGATGCTTGAATGTGCATTTCTTCGATGCTCGGAGCTGAGAAGAAGGTGAAATCTCGTCGAATCGCTCGCGTTCGGTCCCAAAGATAACCATGTAGGGCGGGCAGGTTTTCGTCGTTTCGCAACAGGTCATCCACAAGATATTTGAGGGTCTTTCGCAACGTTGGTACAGACATCACATCCATCGGTAAAGGTGCTTCTTGGCCGGCGGCAGATCGCGCGAGCTTCTTGACCATCCGCGTTGTGCTGGCAAAGGTCGTCTTCGGATCCTTCTCTGGTGTTGGAATATCGTGCTCTGTGATTCTTGTAATTTTCTCGTACTCTGGACACATATCTTCGCAGATACCTTTGAAGTCAATTGCATCTTTCAGTTTTTTTCGTTTCTTGGCATCGTCGATCAGACCGGCGCGTGTGAGCGAAGCTCGCACTTTGCTTCGGTAATCCTCATACTGCTCGCGAAACTTGGCCATTTCGACCTTGTTTTGGGGATCGCCAGGCTGTGACGGCCATGCTGGAGGCGCGATGCCATCCTGCCGTAACTGTTCATAAATCTTTTTCGCGTGGGGATCGTTTGACCTAGGCAGTGACCCGGTTCCTGGTTGTGTGCTGGAGAAAGCTGACGCGGTTGTCTGATTCACTCTAGCTTCGGGCTTTGTGAAAGCTCCAGTCTTGCCACCGAATTGACTGAAAGAGGGCTGTAATCCATTTGCTTTTTTCCCCCATGTCGGCGTTGATGACTGTTTGCCGTTCTCGGCAGCTTTCACTGACGGCTTGGGTGCGAAAGGGTTTGGCGCGCCATTCGCATTGCTCGCCGCTGTCGTAACCTGGGCAAATGGATTGGTAGGATTAGGTTTCGCTCCAAATGCAGAGGTGCCGCTGCCATTCTGGCCAAAGGGATTCGGCTTTGGCGCGAATGGATTGGAGACGGCTGGGGTCGAGCTCTGCGTCGATGTGCCAAATGGCGAAGTCATTTGGCCGACGATGCAGCCGACGTCGCATTCACCTATGCAATCGCCTGCATATGGAGCGGAGATCCCAAAGGTCCGGTTATTACGTTCGCATGCGATGGCCGTGAACTCGAGATGGTTGATCAAAGTTATGGAGGCGCCTGAAGCTACCCACTAAAAACATCTGGAGGCAACCCACTGTATTATACGCGCTAGACCAAGGCCTCACGTGACGCCTGCTCTTTCACAGTGTAACCGCGGAACGCGGAACGTCGTAACATCATGCAAACAAATAAGAACTTCTTTACTCTTGTAGTACAAGTTCGCAACTTGTGCCTCGCTCGGGTGAAATATTGGTATTGTACACCTGTGCATGTGGTGTCATGGTCATTCATCTAATTTACCGCCGTCCCTTTATTCGTGCAGGGCCTAGCTCTCTGCGGATCTCATCCAGCTGCTCCAGACCAGTCTGCGCCTTGGCTTTCTTGTGTGTCCTCTTGCCTGGCTTGCCACCGTAATTACCCAAAAACTCGTCCATAATGTTGTCAAAGTCGCCGCGGACGGGGCCTGTGACACTCGAAGCCGTGGAGATGGCGGACACGGAGGCCGTGTCGTCAAATTCCTCGTTGTACTTTTCTTCAAGCTTGTCGAAACGCGCATCGAGGAAGGAGAGCTGCTCTGTGCGCACCAGCGAAGAAGATGTCATGGAGAAACCCGAAGCAACGGTGAGCGCGCCCTTTCTCTTCTTCTTGCGGCCTCCGTTTGTGGTTGTGGTCCAGTTGGACTGCAGCTCGGACTGAGCGGGGGCGCCTACGGCTTTGAGAGGACCGCCTGTTTTTTGCTCCTTTTTGAATTTTTGGAAATCCGCCAGCCAATCTTGTGAGGGGCCTTGGTCGGGTTGTTCCTGGACCGCTACCAACTGTGGCACTTCATCGTCCTTGTATTCCTTGTTTGGCTTTGCGGTATCGTCAGACTCCCACCCATCGTCGTCGTCAAATTGATTATCCTCAAACTCGTATTCGTCAACCTCATACCCATCCTTGGCTAGCTGGTCGAATATATCGTCATCCTCGTCGTCGATGAAAGCGTCATCCTCCAGAGCCTCAAGGACTTCTCGCAATCTAGGGTCCATATCTGGTTGGAATCCGGCAATGGCGTCTGGGACGTCCTGCTGTTGCTCATAGGACATGCGTGGGAGATCTTTCGATGGCAGCATATCTGGGTCCAGGACATCTCCTGCCTTGTGCTCCAAGTCCATTTGTTTCAGCGCATCTTCGAGAGACTGTTTCTGTTTGCCCTTGCCAGCATTCCCCGTTGTCTTGGCCTCAACAAAGACGACATCGCCCACGCCAGTGTTTAGATCGCGCAAATGTTGCATATAATCGTACTCGGAATCGTCATAGTAGACACCGTAGTTGGCTGCCTCGCCCTCGTTGGCGCGAATATGTTCGGCGTCGGAACCAAGCTCAGAAGCCAAGTCGCCGAGGTTCTTTCCCTGGCCTCCATTTTTGCTGCCTTCGGTTGGGTTCAGAACCATCGACGGCGCATTCTCGTCGTAGATGAGGGGATCATTTTGCGGGCGATGCACCAGCGTAAAGTGCTGGGCACTCTTTTTGTCGCTAAGTTCTTGTTAAACACATGCGAATTCTCCAAGAGGCATACGCGACTCACATCCACTTTCCTTTGGGCATTTTGGACTGGGTATATTTATTTTGCAGCGTTCGAAAAGCGTGTGCACCAATCCAACAAGGTGACTGACAAAATTTACGGCTCGCATTACAGTGTTATGTTCTGATAGCACTGTGTCCACCCCACGTAAAATTCTGCGAAAAACAGTACGAATAGCGAAATGCCCCGCTATCATAGAATTTTGCCCCTCCACGACTCGAATTATTCAGCCATCCCACCATCGTCTTTCACTCGACACAATTAACCTTCAAGCTACAGGGTCCATCCTTCTAAGGCCTGTATTTTTCTAATACCGTTGGGTCTCACCTTTTTTTACGATATTTACCGGACAAGCCGCCCAAGATGGTACTGGCCAAGTCGAAGCAGAGTGTCGGGTTGGGCAATGCCTTGATGAACGATCGCTTCGGCAAGGGCAAGGCTACTGATAAAAGGAAGGGTGCTGTTTCGCGAACGCACCACGCTACCGGCGAACAGTATCTTGTCAACGAGAAGCAGGATGCTGCCTGGGTTAAGATGCGCTCCGTCACGGAGCAGAGCGCCATGGACGAGTTCCTCTCGACCGCCGAGCTGGCGGGCACCGATTTTACCGCTGAAAAGGTCAACAATGTCAAGATTATACATACCGATCAGAAGAACCCGTACCTTCTGTCCGCAACCGAGGAGCGCGCAGTGCTAGGCAAGCACAAGAAACACAGAGATAGACTGACGGTCCCTCGCCGACCAAAGTGGGACGCCTCGACAACACCGCAGCAGCTTGATCTCCAAGAGCGCAACTCGTTTCTGGACTGGAGACGAGGCCTGGCCGAACTACAACAAAATAACGATCTTTTGATGACACCCTTTGAGAGAAACTTGGAGGTCTGGAGACAACTATGGCGTGTCATTGAACGCTCCGATCTTATTGTACAGATTGTCGACGCCCGTAATCCCCTCCTCTTTCGCTCCGAAGATTTGGAACACTACGTCAAAGATGTCGATCCCAATAAGGAGAACCTGCTCCTCATTAACAAAGCTGATATGATGACACAAAAGCAGCGCCAGGCCTGGGCGAAGCACCTCAAATCGGCCGGCATCGCTTTCAGATTCTTCTCCGCGGAACTCGCCAAGGAGATGAACGAGGCACGCGACAGGGAAGAAGAGGACAGTGAGGATAGCGAGGTTAGTGAGGAGGAAACCGCCGCCCAAAATACAGCTAGCAAGCCGTCCGCGGCTACATCCGAGTCGTCAGAGGAAGAGGGCTCCGAGGAGGAGTCTGATAAAGAGCGCAACGGCGGCAGCTTGCGCGTGGAAGTCGACGATACCGAAATTCTGACCGTGGACGAGCTCGAGGAGCTTTTCCTCAGCTACAAGCGAACCGACGCCGACGCCGACGCCAAGCTGCAAGTCGGCCTCGTCGGCTACCCCAACGTCGGCAAATCCTCCACCATCAATGCCCTCATCGGCGCCAAAAAGGTGTCCGTCTCGTCGACGCCCGGCAAGACCAAGCACTTTCAGACCATTCACCTCTCGGACCGCGTCGTACTCTGCGACTGTCCTGGTCTCGTCTTCCCCAACTTTGCCTCGACCAAGGCGGACCTGGTCTGCAACGGCGTGCTGCCCATTGACCAGATGCGCGAGTTCACCGGCCCCGTCGGGCTCGTCGCGAAGCGTGTGCCGCACCGCTTCCTCGAGGCCGTGTACGGCATCACCATCCAGATGCGTCCCATTGACGAGGGCGGCACCGGCGTGGCCACGGCCGACGAAGTGCTCCGCGCCTACGCCGCCGCCCGCGGCTTCAAGACGTCCGGCCTCGGCCAGCCCGACCAGTCGCGCGCCGCCCGCTACGTCCTCAAGGACTACGTCAACGGCAAGCTGCTCTTCGTCTCCCCGCCCCCTGGCATTGACGACGAGATTGCGTTTAACCGCGAGCTCTACGACGAGGGGCACCTGCCGGAGAAGCGCCGCGCTGCGCTTGCCGCCGCCGGCTTAGAGGGCCTCTCCCTCACCGACGACGCGCTCCTAGGCGACGACGACGACGAGTCCGCGGCGGGCGCCTCCGACATGGTGTCGATGGCGCCCATGACGGGCGCCAAGACGCAGAAGCTTGACAAGGGCTTCTTCGGCGCCAAGAACGCCGGCGGCCACATCACCAACCCCTTCAACTACAAGTACACGGAGCAGGGCGCGCTCGACTCGGGCAAGGCCCTGACGGGTCGCAAGGCCCGCACCGCGTACGCCCTCGAGAACGGCCTGGACCCCAAGGAGCTGGCCAAGGCCGGCAGCAAGAAGCATTTCAAGGGCGGCATGAGCAACGGCAAGGGCAAGAAGCAGCATCGTATACTGAACAACTTGGATGACTAAGATTTACGACTTGAAGGTTGAAAAAAATTTGCATGATGAAATTTCTTTGGTCACACTACGACTTGGACGTTTTCTTTGTCTCTGGCGCATTTGGGCATTTCTGGGCGTGGAATGAATGAGATGCACGTTGATGAATAGGCAATTTATACTCATTTGTCCATTTTGGTTCTTCATTAAGTCTTTTATTTCGCCAGTGATATATAGTGTGTTTTTTGTACACTGAAACTTCCAATCACACAACCTAGACGTTTTCCTCATCTTTGGGTAATTAGGCATGTGTGGATAGAATGAGATGCACGTTTATGAATAGGCAGTTTATACTCATAGTTCCATTTCATTCTTCATTATTAAACTACTTCACTTCGCCCGTGATACAGCGTGATTTCGGTATAGGCAGCGATTCCAGAAAACATGTAGGTCAAAAAGTATCGCCATACACCAGGTTTAATAACCAAGCCCGTCTATATAATATTACCCATAAAAGAAACAAAAGTCTATACGCAAGAATCGATTAATTAAGTCTCCCCCTCTTCATCATGTCCACCTCAGTCATCTTCCCTTAGTAGGCAAAGACCATCAAACTGGGGTTCAGCACAAACGGCACCAGCGCGTGAAACGACAAGTTGAGCGCCAGGGGCACAATGGCCGAGAAGTCGGTAATGGCCCAGTTCGGCGGCGCAAAGACGCCGAGGTAAATCATGGCCACCACCATGATGGTGATGAAGACGTACATGGTCCAAAACGTCTTGAAGATGCGCGGCACCTCCTGGAAAAAGTTGGAGTCGACCTTTTCCTTGGACGTGGAACCCCACTGCATGTCGATGTGGAAGAGGTGCGCGAGAAGGGCGAGCGTGATGTGCCAGGAGAGGCCGCCAAAGAAGACAGTCATAAGCGGCATCCACTTGTAGTTTTCAAAGAGGGCACCAACGAGGCTGCGCTCGCCGGTGCGGTAGCGCAGGATGGCCAAGGCAATCGGGCCCGCGCCGTTGAAGACGACGATGAGGGAGAGAAAGACGTTCCAGGATGTCAGGTACGCCGAAGCCAGTTCATCGCGAATCCAGCCAATCAGAAAGTAGTTGAGGCAGGTAAGGAGGAGGGCCGAGCCGAGGGCAAAGTAGGAGCACATGTAGGAGATAATGGAGATCTTGGACGACCACATAATGTTGGAAAAGAGAAACGTGTAGAAGAGGGGGGTAAAGGGTCCGCGGTAGATCCAACGGTGGAGGGGGTGGAAAATCATTTCAGAGACGCCATAGGCATACTTTTGCCAGCGCATGATTTCGTCGTAAATCGTCAGGGACACGCCTTCCTTGAACTCGTCGTTGTGGTAGGAACCGATGCGGATGACGCTGCCCTTCATCTGCAGACGCAGCGCAATGTCGAAATCCTCCGACACGTGGCTCTCGGACCAGTAAGCCGTGTAGGCGCCGTCTTGCTCCAGGCGGCCGACATCCTGCACGGCGGGCCAGCGGAGAAATGCATTATGCCCGACAAACGGCGCGACCTCGCCGGCACCAATGGAGAAGCGAATCGACGAGTAGACGAGGTTGGTGAAGTAGGTGATGCCATTCTCAAAGTAGTCGTGCGTGACCTGCATGACGCCGGTCGAGTGCTGCACAATGGCCACCTCGGGCGAGAGGTACATTTCGGCGGCGCCGTAGAGCAGGCAGTCAATAGGGACGCGCGTGTCCGAGTCGACAAGCAAGATGATCTCGCCGACGCGAATGTCGCCTTCGGCCCACGCGAGCGGCTCCTCGTCGAGCAGCTGCGCGAGCGCCGTGTGATACAGCTCCTCCTCCTCGGCCTCGTCGACGAGGTCCGAGCCGGTAGCCGCGATGCGGGTATCCATCATGTCCTGCATGCGGCGCTCGACGCGCTGCGCAAAGTTGAGCGCAAAGTTCATGTTAGACGCCTTTTTGAACTTGCCCTTGCGGACGTAGCCCTCGTCACCATTGTGCCGCGGGCGCGCCACCCAGCCAATGTTGTTGTTGTGGTAGTATTCTTGGCGCTGGCGCACCTGCGCGTCCGTCAGCCCAGCGCGCAGGCCGTCATCGTTGACAAAGATGGTAGCGGAGCCGCCGTGCGACTCGTAAAAGGAGACGGCCTGCTGCAAACTGCGGATGGTGGGGATAATGACCGAGTCCATGCCCTCCTTGTAGACAGGCATCTGGATCGTCACCTTGGGAAGCTCCATGCCAGCCGCGTAGGCGCGCTCGACGCTCGGCTTGTGGCAGGAAAAGTAGCGCGAGTTGGTCGTGTTGCCGCCAATCGGGCCCAGCATCTGGAAGATATCGGAAAAGACAATTTGGAAGAAGAAGAGGCTGACGCAGAAGAGCAGCGGGATGGGGAAGACGAGCGCCATGCGGACCCAGGTGCCGTCGAGCAGGCACTCGCTCACCAGGCGGCCAATATAGACGCCGACGAGCAGCACAATGGTCACGGCCATGGCGAGGCCGATGAAGACGGCCGAGGTGCGCATGACGGGCCGCTTCAGGGACTCGGGGCGCTCCATGGCCTTTTCCTTTTCGGCGGCAACCTCTTCGTCGGCCTCCTCGGCCGGGGCAATGTAGGCCTCCTTTTCAGTGATGACGTTCCCAGGCGTGTTGTAGCCACTAGGAGTGTGGCCGGAGAGGATGGAGGGTGTGCGAAAGGGCGATGACAGCACCGTGGTGGCCACTTTACCGGATCCCCAAATCTATCATAGTCAGTATGGTGCAGCTGGGTTGTTTGCGGCGGCTGGGTACATACCATTGTGAGAAGCTTCTCTTCGAGGTGCGCCGCATGGCTGAGGACATGCGAAATGTCGTCATGCCAGACAAGCAGCATGCGCTCCTGCTGGCAGATGCAGGCATATTGGTACTTTTTCACCGTGGTGGGATGTGCGTGGTTGAGAGAGTCAATGACTTGCAGCTGGGAACCGTCCTTTAACCGCAGCTCAGTCTGGCCCTCTGTCAGAGTCATCATGATCCCTTCCAGTAAGCGAGGTCGGATTGTGATGGCCACGGCCAGGTTCATGCGGCTGACAGCTTCATGGAGAACAGGGTGAACAGGCTCCGGGACGGAGAGATATTGTCCGCGAGCGCGGCGAATGAGTACACCGTGGATGTTGTTGGGGTCCTGGGCCGCGTTGGGGTGAATCCAGCCGCTGACCATGATGCTGTTGTAAATATAGTTGGCCATCTACCAATCTCGTTAGCTTCTGCGAGTTTCTCTCTTTGCTGGGCCAAACTAACCGTTCTGTACCGAAAGTCATCCGAGTACTGGAGTCGCGACGGCGTCGACGTGCCTGTCTTGTTTCCATTGTCGCTGTGGGAATTTGACGAGCGCATCGAGGCGACGGAGCGGCTTGGGGGTCGCGAGGACGGCGTCTGCAGGCCGGGCTCACCCAGAGTCGGGCTCTGACTTTTAAAGAACCTCATGGTGTGAAAGTTCAAGGAGGGGCTGGGATGCCTCCTTGTCGAAAGTCAAAGGTCGCAGGTGTAAAAAGGTTGGTCGAGATCAAGTGCCCGCAGGCGAAAGGTCGGCTGAGTATACTGGACTTGTAAGACGGGCAAGCAACAATTGTAGTCTCTACGTTGATGTGTGGTGAGATGCGAGAGAGACCTAGAAAGAGAGCGGATGCTCTTATCAAGAAAAAAATGAATAGAATGCCGGAAGAGCTCCAAGGCCAAGTAGGTCTCGGGTAAAAGAGTGTGGTTCCAGCTTCGCAAGATATGGGAGATGGGACAAGAACTAGCAGCGATTTTGTTTCCTGCCTGACACGACAGTGGACTATGGATTCGAGGCCAAGAGGGGCCCGATAGCGACTAAACCGAGTTGAATTGACCAGTGTGCCAGTGTGCGGTCATCAGCCATCGTCAAGGACTGAGCGGAAGAGGCCAGTCAGTCAGTTGCTTGATCGTCTATTGACTGTGAACAAGGTATTGGGGGGTGCCGACAAGGGTAAGGGGGTGTGTCCCGGGGGTGTGGGCGTCTTGTCTGTAAGCGAAGGTACAAGACGAATACATGTGTCCAGTCCAGACAGACATGCTAATTCTTAGGCTTGATCGAAGGTCTGAGTGGACAAGTGGGCCGCGGTGAAGAACGGTGTGTGTACGGACCCGACACCATCCGTTGGTGGGAGCCTGCGAGGTGACAGAGCGGATTTCAGTCCTGGGGCTTTGTGTTTCTGGATTTGGGTTGGGCCAGGAACAGACCGTGGCTTGGCGTGAATAGAACAATGGTGGCCGCTCCAAAACGTGGGTGGTAACGGTGAGGCGGCCTCCGTGAGCGAGACTAGTAAGAAAGCTGTCGCCCAAGAGACAGAAATCGTTCGGACCGGCACCGGGTTCTGCTACGGTTATCAAAAGACCTGATAGCATATACACCAAGCAGTGAATATCGAGGACAGGCTTGCCTCTGATCGACTTAGATGAGGCTCAAATGCCTGCCCAACAAACGGCCATTGTCTTCTCATGCAAAAGACGGAAAAGCGGGATCCGAGAGTGGAGTTGTAGGACGTTCGCTACAGAGCGCGGAGAAAAGTCAAACGCCACTCGACCGTATTTTCGAGGTAAGAAAACTCCCCCTGCTGTATTTTGACTTTTTCTCGCCATTTGCCCCTGACAAGCTCGGACGACAAAACAAGGAAACGACCTGGAAAGAGCGCTGTGGACCGTTGACTTGATGGACGAAAGAATACTGCTGGGAAAAAAGCTTAAAGCTTATAGCAGGTTTTTTTGCGATTCCTTTTGGAAAACCTGGTTTGGGGGTCGTTTGCATCTCGATTGTTTCATTTCTTCTGTGGTGGTGTGCAGGATCGGCGGCTGCCGAGGATGTGGCGTCGGTGAGTTTCTTGCCCCCAACGGCAGACCTGCAACGATGGCGCTGCGGTCAAATTGCGCTGTACAGTAATAATGCAGCGCCGCCACGACGCCATCACCCAAGCGCAACGACAGCGGTGCAGCCCGCCGCCCGCGGTCATGGCGACTCGGGCGTGTCATGGCCGGGGGGTTCGTGGGGAGGGAGCCCGATGGGCTGTGCGGAGAGCGTGTGCTGCGCTTGTGTTTTGCCTGTGCGCCTTTGGTTCATCAATTCCTGGTCAACTCGCGACGATGTTCTTTTTTCCTCTTCAAGAAACGGCAATTCCAAATACCGATAGGCTGGAGGCAACAACATCGCAAGGCGACGCCCAGGCAAACGCTCGTTGGTCCATTGCTTCTCTGTCCTTTCCCCTTCTAGCAGCTCGCTTCTTTTTTTATTTTTGTCGACGGCGCTAGTCTGTGGATGCTCCGATCCGCGTTTCTGGGATCAGGGCTGTAGGATTCTGGTGGTTTGAAGCCAACTTGAGAGCCTCTTGATGTGGTGGTGTGTGTGTGATGTGGGTGCAAGTTTTTTTTTTTTTTCCTTGGCCGTTCCAAATCATGCAGGACCATTCTCGGTACCTGACCGTGGGCTGAGAATCACATACAACGAGCAGGTACCCACAACACAACACCAGGTCAACCAAGTACAACGCATGTCGGGCTCCAGTCCTACAATTGTCGGATCCCGCCATTTATTACAGCTGAAGGCCACTTCACTGTGTCATTGTGAGCTAGATACGAGAGAGATGGTCTCCTCAGCATCACGACTAAGCTGCGCACACCCCTAGGGCAGCCCCGGTCACCGCCAGCCTGTGCATTCCCGACAGCATCATCGCGTCCAGGTGAAGCCGTCGCCAAGTCCATGCAGCCGGTCCCGTCTCACGGTGAGGCTGACTGGTAATTATTAGGTACTATTATCGGGCAGCGGGCTGCCTCTACTGGGTAAGCTCAGCTGTCCGCGGCACAGCCCACGATGCGAAGCACCAGATTACGTGAAACAGAGAGGGCTATATAGCTAGTCTGGCGGGCCAATATAGATCGCGACGGCAACAGCCGTGTGGCATGAATTGCCCAAATGAGGTCTTTTTGACAGATTATGAGCGCAGCTATCTTCTCACCTCTCCCGCCGAACCCCTGTCCGGCGTTGACAGCCCGCCACGTCCGGCTCGTCTATTGCAATCCCGCTGCGCGCCACAGCATGATGCGGCCAAATGCGTAGTCGTCGTCCGCTCAGCACATACATATGCTGTGTTTCTTCATTATATCGACTTTTCAGGGCAAGCCCCCAGCCTCAATGTGCCTGAAAATAGCAGCGGCGGGCTGTGCTGCGGAACATTGCATGGCAGCCACCACACACCCGGTTGCACAGACAGGGAGGGCTACTTCTCAAGTACGCTTGCATTTTTTGCCGTGTTGGCAACTCGGCAAGATACGAACAAATTCAGTCGCTCAGCTCCGCGTTACCCCTGCCCATGCATTTCCGGAGATGGCCTGTAGCTTATGTGCATTTATTGGCCGTCCCTCTTCCCTGCTCAACACTTGCAGCCAAGGATCGTGTAACAAAGAAACGCCTCAAGGCTACAAATCACTTTTTCATGTGCAAAGTGAGTCAAATCACATATCCGATAAGAAGACAATATTGTCCTTCTGTTCCATTGGCCCAGCTGGCACGAACAGACCAGGGGGTGTAAGTTCTCTTGCTCGATACAGGGGGCATTCTCACCATTACGCGCAGCAAGCCAACAGACCGTCGCACGTGGTTGCGGCGAGCCCATCCATCACGCAATGCAGACGGACAATATTTGCCATCTACAAAGGACATCTTCAACAATCGAGGTTGCAGCTGCAATGCTAGGGATGCATTGCATCAGAACCCGAGAGTCTGGGCCTCTAGAGCAGCAAAACAAGGTGCTGGTAGATAACTACGCGAAGTCGGCAAAACAGATCCGTAGCCTTGGGATAAGGAGCCCTGGCGGAGTGTGTCTTACTGCTATGAGAATCCTTGTATGCGCCACCTGCCTGTGATTGGATTTATGGCAATTCACAGCCCCCAACAAGGTTGCATGCTTCCAAGCATCGACGGCATCTTGTCAATCTACTGCACTTTACCCTGCAGCCTGCATGGCACTTAGATGGCACTAACTCGACGTGCCTCCGAGTCTACTGGCAATAGTTGCATTCGACGGGGGTCCAGAGCGACATCAAGAGCACGTTTTTTTCCCTTCCCGAGCTCCCTCTTACACAATGGCTACGACGCTGACATTGTTCGCGATCCCGTCTTTGCTGTGTTCTCTTGCCAAGCACCGTCCCTATCAAGCTTTTCATCGCAGCCCCCCCCTGTCCTCCTGTCCCGAAATTTCCGCGGCGATCACACGTTCATGACTAGGTTGCCCGCCCGCGGATCATGAGTCCCAATCCCTAAAGGGACAAGCCCAGCAAGCCACAATTTTTTTCTTCAGCAGCCAAAGTTATGAACGGGCCAGTAAAATAACAAAAGATGGAACGGATAGAACAAGATAACTACTGAGGAGACTAGAAAGTCAGGGCTTTGGTTTACCGGCGCACCGCTCACCTTGAGAGTGTATCGGCCCGGCAGTTGCAAGGTTTTGGCTTGAAGTTTGCCAGAACTTTGAAGTCATGACAAGCGCTAGATCGACGCTAGTTGTCAACCTGTGAGCCGGCTCGCTGGGTCAAGTCTGTGATTCGAACTTTCTACTCGCCATTGTGGATCTTGTGAGAGGAGACTTGAGCTTTGTGACTGAGAATCACAGCCTTTAGCCGGGTCTCTGTGACGTCGGTCTTGGCCTGTGAAGGCATCATTCGGGCCTTGTTGAGAGTGGAGACTGGCAAGTATTCGGACAGCAAGTATTCGGACAGCAAGTGTTCAGACAGCAGGTATTCGGACAGCAAGTATTCAGACAGTCGGTATAAGAAAGTTTCAATTGCTTCAAGCGTAGAAACATGCATCTATTCGGTAATCTAGTCTCATTGCATTCATTGATACTCATGATTGTCTCCCATATTAGTCAAGTCCATGCTGTAAAAGAGTAATCTATCTAATTACATTCATTGATACTCATGATTGTCTCCCATATTAGTCAAGTAAAAGAAGCCAATAACCAACCGAAGGCAAAACCCATATCTAAAAACTGCCCAGTACCAGCGCACGTATATCAACACACAAATAAACACAAAATCCACAAAAGAACCCATTCACAACTCCTGCTTCGAGCCACACGCGCCCAGCTGCCACATCTTGACCGACCGGACCGTCATGCCGCGCTCATCGCCCTGCCCCCACGTCGGGAGCCACTGATCACGGGCGTCCCAAAACGACCAGCGGGCATTCGTCGCGCCATTGACCCAGGGCTTCTGGCCGACATTATCGAGGAAGAAGCCGTTGGTGCCGCCCACCGCGACGTTGAGGATGAGGTAAAACGGCTGGTCAAACGGCGCGTTGCCCGTGGTCGAGTTGGACCCGGCCCACGGGTTGTCGAGCAGGGTGTCGTTTTCCGACTTTTGCTGCGCGAAGCCGCCCTTGTCCCAGAGATCCTCGCTCTTCTTGAAGCCAATAAAGAGAATCTGGTGGATCTTGGAGTCAATGTAAAAGTAGAGGTAGTTGGGCGTCCACTGGATGCCAAACGTGTGCAGGCCGTCCGAGTAGGCGCCGCGGCGAATCTTTTTCGCCAGCGTCGTCTTCCAGTACGTGTCGGTCTTGGGCGTCGGCCCCCAGTGCAGCGTGCCGTAGTACCAGTTGCGGCCGCCCTCGGCGTAGTCGGGCCCGTTGCCGCGCGACTCCATGATGTCAATCTCGCCGGAGCGCGGCCACGCGCCGTAGGCGTCGCTCTCGGGCATCATCCAGATGGCGGGCCAGAGCCAGTCGCCCTTGGGCAGGCGCGCGACGACCTCGACCATGCCGTAGCGGATGCTCTTGGTGCCCTTTGTGGTGAGCCGCGCGGAGCGCACGGGCGGGATAAAGGCGCCCTTTTCCGGGTTGGAGCGCAGCACGCAGGCCGACGAGTTGAAGGCGCCGGTGCACGACTTGTCCGTGTCGAGGTTGAGCGTGTAGTTGGCGTACATTTGGTCCGTCGTAATGTCCGTCGTGTCCGTCGTCAGCGTCGGCACAATGTGCAGGCCCGCGCCGTCGACGTACGAGTTGCGCTCGTCCGTCGTCGTCCAGTCAAAGGCGTGGTTGCCGAAGCCGTCGAGCTGCACCTCGTGCGTCCACACGCTCTTGTCGAGCGTCTGAAAGTTGTCTTCATACACCAGGCAGTACTAGATCCACCGGGTCAGTATCTCGTCGTGTAAAAACCCACTCTCGTCCAACGAAAAAAACCACTTACATCCTTTTGCACATACGGCTTGGACATGAAAAACACCACCACGCCGGCCGCGGCGAAGCCGAGCAGGATGAGCGTGCCAATGATGATGTTGTTCCACCGCGTCTTCCTCATGTCCTTGTCCTCGAGCCAAGGCTTCTCGTAGTCGCCGCGCAGGCGGGAGCTCTTGAACCTGTGCTTGGGGGCCTGGAGCGGCGTGCTGGCGCCGCCGTGCACGACGCTGTTGTACGTGTACGGCGTAAAGGTGCCGGGGCCGCCGCCGCCGTCGACCGAGTGTCGCGGCGAGCCTTGCCACGGTGTCGAGCTCGATGAGCCGGCGCGGATGCTGCCGCCCGGCGTGGCAAAGGGGTTTTGGTGTGCGCTCATGGTTTTTTGTTTGCTGGCCGGAAGCCCAGAGAGCGAGTTGGGACAAGGGAGGGGGGGACAAGGGGAAAGAGGTGAGTTGATGTGGCCAGGTTCTTGGGTATGAGTGTGACAAAGAGGAGAGATGCAAGTCAAGAGGCAGTGGATGGACACGGCGGGAGAGACATGCAGATGCAGATTTGTATAAGCGCAACGAAAGACTAGGTTGAGAAGAAAAAAAAATGTATAGATGAACTACAAGCTTATCTCTTTACGCGGAGAAGAACATCAATCAAGGTGAGCCGCTGAGCAGAGCTGGGCGACAAACTAGTATGAGTAGCGAGTAGCGCAAGAGGAGGGCGTGTAATGCTGCCACGGAGCTGAGGGTGTATTCGGCCACGGCGAACCCAGGGTGTGCTCTCAACCAGCTTGCCGTACATTTTGTACACCCGTAGTCCAGCTCGGAGGAGAATCAGGTCCTCGTCTGCTTGGCCAGCTAGCCCAAGCGAGGGCCGTGTAATCGCACCAGCCTGACAGGGACGGGACACGAGAGGATCGAGCGAACCTAGGCAGGATAATTTTAGCGCAAGAGTCCAGTTTTCTACCTGAGGCTTGTTAGTATAAAAAAAACTGCCTCATTTTTCTAACTAGAGTTTTATTTTTCTTTACAAAACTCTCTTTGGGGGCAACTTGGGTCGTGAGTCGCCGACAGTGGGCGAGGCAGTGAAGCCATCAGGCAGCGGCCCTCGCTTCAGCTGATGTTCCGCTGCCTCTTCCGTTTCCTTTTTTTTTTTTTTTTGCTTTTTCTCTCCTCCTATTTCCTCTTCAAGCCACACCACTCTGGGGGCCATCTGGTGTTGGAGTGGAGTCATTGTGTGTCTTGCTTGTGGGAACTGATTTCTGTTAGCTCCAACTTGGCAAGGCATATGTGTACAAAGCATGCACTCTCTCGTAACTAGGTAGTTGTCGGTTACAAGAAGAATGCCACTGTGAGCCATAAAAGTCAAATATACGCAATTTCGACAATCAACCAGCACAGCACAGAAACAGAAACTAGGTCCCACCTCGGCGGCCCGTGTCTGCAGTTGTGGACAATCAGCCTCTGTTGATGCCACCTGCAACAATCATGCATCTTCAGTCTCCAGTCTTATTACGACAGTACCTGTCATGTATCTTTTTTTTTCCCTTTCCCATCTTCTTTCTTCACCCCCCTCCCCCCTGTCAGAGATCCGCTTCCCCTTGGCTAGCAATGGAACAATGCTTTCCCTGACTTTTCTTTCCATTTGGGGCCCTTTTTTTTTTCTCTCTCTCTTCTCTCTCTCTCTTTTTCATTGTTATCCATATCTCGGCCGTGAATCCGAAAAATCCACTCCGGCTTTTTACGCCCACTTTCCTTTCAGCTTGGTTCTGTCAACAGGTATACGCGGCCTTTGGCCGTTCCGCGCCCCGACCGAGACAAAAATGCCATACTTTGGATAGGAACCCCAACGTTATCCCCTTGATGTGTTTCCTTGGCTATCAGCTCGGTGTGTATACCAGGTTCCAGCAAGGAACAGTGTCTTGGCAAGGTGACGGGCCCGGTGTAGCCTTTCCCAGCTACTTGTCTGAGTGGCTCATTTCAATCACATCTGCCCCGACCGAGTATAAGACGGATGAATCACAGACTGGCTCCCAAACACGCCCATGGTGTCATCACTGCAGCTCAAAAGGCAAAACATGATGTGCTTTCATGCCGTCGATAGTCTAAATCCAAATAATATGCCGACGGTCACAATCTATCAAGGTCGCTCGCCCACCGATGCGCCGGTGAAGCTTCCTCCCCTCCACCAGCCCTACGTCGATGGCCTTGGCATTGGTCCTTGACCGTCAACAGTCCGTCGCATGTTTCAAGAGATTTGGCAGATGCGCCAAGGTACTGTATCGTGTTGGATAATTTGAGGTCTTGACAGCAACCGCCGTCAGTCTGCACGTCCACCTGGGGCCGCTCTCGGTCCGAGAGAGAGCCAAAGCGCAAAGAGCCAAAAAAAGCTTTTACTCTTCTAGTTACATATGTGCGGGAGCATCCATATTATTTCGCCACATCCATGTAATCGCTCCAACTGCCGTCCAGCTCCTAACTAGCTGGTTCGCAGCCGCCGCGCGGTGTCACCGTTCGTTGTCCTGTTACCTACATGTGTTTCACCAACTCTACCAAAGCCTTGCTTTTTTTCTCTCTCTCTGTTCGTATAAATCATTTTTGCTTTCTTTTTCCATAGTCGACCCAGATTTTAGGCGTAGTTCGGTGCCCCGGCGGTTGCACAACGTCGCGGGTAGTAGGCTTCTCCCTGCGGTAAGACGCTCGTGATACCACGATACATTGTTCTTTGACCTTTTTTGCTGTTTCTCGTCAAGTTCCCCACCATTTATTTGATCAAGACCAATCCCCAGATGACAAAAGGCTGGCCCCTTCGTATTTGCATTGGTGCCATCTATTGATAGAGTCGGTGACTATTGGCACCACCGACCTATGGTGCCTTTGTGTCGCACGATCCTACTTTCCCATGGAATGACTTGTTTTAAGTCATAAATGGTCGTGCAAAGAAGAAACAAAACAATGGGACCGACTCAGACATCGTTCCTGTACAGGGACCTGGCCATGGGGTATCGAGTTTGCAAGGAAACCGTATAGAACCTGGAAAGTCACTATCTAGACGGCTCTCTTGGTGGTCCTGTCTCAGCTAGAGAATCATCAAGTAATCTGTAGGCCGATCGCCATTCATCAGTACCTATCGACCAGGTAGCTTTCGATCATTCACTCGAATAACGAATCCTCTTGCTACTCTGCTGTGGGCGGCCGTCACTTCCGAGCACGGCAACTTGTAAGATACACGGATACATTTGACTCTAACTTGAGCTCTAAACAAACAAATCACCATCACACGTCTAGCAGATAAGATAAGTTCCTTTTGCAACCGAACCAAGGAAAAAAAAACACAGAATATATACATGGTATAATCAACAACTCTTCATCGCTTCACTCACAAGCTCACTGCGCACCGGATCGTCGCCCATCAGCTACCGCCTTTCTAAACAGCCTCGTCGTGCCTCCCACTTTGCCCAGCTCCCCAAAACGCTTCTTGTCTTCGACGGGCGTCGAACCCCGCGCAGAGCGCTCCGGGGCAACACCAGAGGCCGCATTCACCGCCACGCTCGACAGCGGCGGCCCCGGCGGGTTGCCCAGAGGTGGTATTTTGCGCTCGCCGCTAGCGAGACGTACCTTTTCCTTAACGCTCTCTACCCATGCCTTGTTCTCGTCGCTCATCTCGACCTTCTTTCCCGACGGACCGGCGAGGCCCAAGAACGAGCTGTCATCCTCGACCCAGCTCATGCGAGAGCCGGGGCGCGATCTCGCAGAGCCACCGCCAGCATCTGAGCCGGGGGTGTTCTCAACAGATGAGTAATGTAGCGCGGCGGCGGGGGTCTTGGGGCGGAAACGGGGCGCTTCGCTGCCGGCGGCACCCACGCTACGGCGTGTCTTGCGGACTTTGAGCGGTGTGCTCGGCGCCACGGTAACGACCGAGACATCACCAAGCCGTGAGCCAGGGCGACTGTTAGGACTAGAACCTTGTACGGCGCTGTTGTTCACGGCGCGACCAGCCTGTGGCAGATCACGCACCTCAACTGCAGTATCCTCTGGCTTACTAGAGCGCCGGCCATGGTGGCTCGCGTAGTCCTTGAGATATTCACTGAGATCGGCCCAGCCACCACCAACACGGACCATGACACGCTCACCGTCTTGTCCGACGCAGCGGATGAAGAGCTTGATAGGCGCTTCGCCCGTTGAGCGTGACAAGTGGTACACTTTGATCTCCTGCTGCCCGCGCTGAGGACGCGGTGGGCGGGAAGACTTGGCAGGCGAGAGCGTAAAGGAGGGTGTGGTGGTGCGGGAGCTCAACGCAGAGCCGCTACGGCGGAAGCGATCCTTGGATGGCTTCTTCTTAAGATATGGCAGCTGCAGGTCCGGTGGATTGAGATTGACATTTGGCGTGTCGGACTGGAGGCGAATCTTAGCGGGGATGCCCTCGATAATCTGGCTTATCTGCCTGCGCAGCTTCTGGTCGCCAACGCTATCTCTTCGGACCGCAGAAGTCGGGGGCGCGATATCGGGAAGCGAGTAAGAGTCCTCATAGTCATCCATGAAGGAGCTGTCGAGCGGGCTCTTCATGCCCATGACATCGTCGAACTCGGGTAAGCCAGAGTTTACCAGGGGGCTGTCACCGAGAGCAATGACGGAGTCTCGCATCTGGTGCTGGTCTGGCATAGGTGGCGACAGCGGCGGCGAACTAGGCGGGCTGTCGTCGAAATACTCAACCCTGCGAATAGGACCTTTGAAAGCGGTTGGTGACGCAGAGATTTCAGGACCATCGCTCGACATGCCGTCAAAGTGGCTCCCGTAAAGCACGGTATCATCGGCTAGGTCGCTGACATCCGTCATGACGCTACTTCGTAGCTCGGGCAAGCAGAGTTCCTCTTCCTCTTCGACTTCTTCCTTGACAGGGCTCATAGCAGCCTGTGCAAGCTCATCCGAGGCGCTGCGTCTCTGCTTCGCTGGGGTCTCAGAATCGGCCAGCACTTGACTCATCGTGTTGGGAGTCATCACACCAACAAGTCCAAGTGCCGATAGCGACAAGCGAGTTTGCGTGGATCGCTTCGGAGGCGTAGTGTCACGCGAAGCAACCCTGTTTGCGAGATTATCCTGTACATACAGCATTGAGGCCTCCGGGGTCGTGTCAGAGTCAGTGTAAGCAGACTCGTCCCGCAGCCTGACACCACCCTCATTTCGGTTGGCCAGGATGTTGCGTAGCCACTCGATCTCTCTAATCTTGCGCTCGGCAACAGCAGCCCACTCGCTGTAATTTGACTCAATCACTTCCATCCGCTCCAGCCAATGGTCAGGGAGCGTGTCGTCGAGACCCTCAAGACAGTCTAGCATATAGTCGAGGGTACGGCCCGGCTTTGCCACTTTGCGCATGATAGAGCGCTTCTTGTGACCGAATGTGTCCTTGGTCAGCACAGTCTCCAAAGGTTCCCCGCCTCCATCTCTCTCTAAGCGAGCCTTTTCCTGGGCAAGCATCGAAACCTGCTCCCAGGCGTCATCCATGATTTCTTCGGCATCTTCAATTGCGCCAAGGACAGGATTGACATGTTGTAGAACTGTAATGCGCATCGTCCACGTTTGAAGGAATCGCGCCAGTCGCGCAAGGTTAGGGAGGGCCTGGATGACAATGGCAGTCACCACGGCAGAGAGGTCGTCCATTCTATGGTATGAAGGCACCGCTGCATTATAGTGGCCACCTTCTGAGAGAGGCGTTGTTGACCGGGAAATGGGCATGACATGGCTTGTCAGAATATGTGTCTTGATATCCTCCACTTCGAGTTGGTCCATGCCGTGATATATTTCTTCAATGCGGCGAGCGTACTCGATGACTTCGTGCTCGGGTAAGCTGCCCATGTAGGCGTCTTCTTCTCTTCGCTGCGAGCTTGTCGAGCCTATGGAAGAGCTGAACAGATTGCGACGCACTTGCAGCGCGCCGTGTTCAAAGCCAGCGGAACCACTTTCGTCTGGCCAGGTCCAGGCACGCATCTCTTCAAGCCATTCGGAAATTTTCTGTGAAGCGAGAGCTGTGCGCATGGCAAAATCGCGCTGAGAGGGGGAGGCGAGCGCCATACAAGCGCGGATAGCGCCGGTCGGGGACAGGAGGGCTTCGACGGTTGTGGAGGGTGTAATGTGTAGGAGTATGTCGTCGGGGATGACCTTCGATCGCGTCGGCGAGTGGCCAAGAGATTGCCTCTTGGGCATGAAAAGCAACGGGCGTTCGTTGAATGTCGTCATGACGTCGGGTTCGAATGATGAGTGGGAGCAGTAGGTAAAAGTGACGGGTACTGTTTTCCAGCGAATAGCCCAGAACTGTCGAAAACGGGTGTAAATGCAAAGAGCCGTCAAAACATATCCGCTTGCTCAAGGGCCTGGGGAAAATGCAGTTGTTACTATGCAAAGGTTGAAGCCAAATATGCCCATAGTCAAGAAACCAAAACAAGTGAAGAGCCAGGTCAAAACCGCAGAGAATGGCGCAATCGAGGTAGAGGTAGAAGAAGTGCGCGATGAGGAATAGCTTCAGGCTGAGGCGTCACCGGTGCGTCCACGAGAGGTGGAATGCACGACAAAGGTACGGCCAGTCGTGTCGCTTCAAGTCTTGGAGCGTCGCGGCGATGCGAGAGTATATCGGTCGAGTTGTGCGTTTGGACAAGCGATCGGGCCGGAGTGGTTGTCTGTTGCTTGCACCGGGTGTTTCGGGACCGAAATAACAAACAGCGCGCAAGTGCGCCTGAAGCCCGTAGCCAAATCTTGAAGCTCGCACCTCTGCCCTTTTTTGGAGAGCCTAAGCGATGTCCACACCACCAACAACGAAGCAAGGGCGGGTGAGGTTGGGCAGATATGACAGCGTTGCGTGACAGGCGGGGCGGCCTTTGCGAAGCGAGGCCACACGGGAAAGTGACTGGTGTCGGAAGGTTGAGGATATGGCTGTCGCGATAGGTGTCTGCTGAGAAAAAAAAAGAAAGGAAAAAGACTCGAGCGCCAATGACGAAAATGCACGTCAATGGCAGCGAGACAGCCGGGAAAAAGCAAAGAAAAATGATATATTGTCCAACGGTGGTTGGCCTCCTTTTGAAGTTGGCCCGAGACACGATTCCGCTCTAGCAGTGTATGGCAAGAGCGGGGGGAAGCGACCGTTCTGGGAGGCAAGGCGATACCCTGATTTTTTCTTTGATCCGGTCTTGGTTCAAAAGGAGGAAAGGAAACGGCGGTTTGTTGTTCCAGATGTTTTGTCGCCCACTCGTTCGATCGTGAGACGCGTCTTGCCACAAGCCACAGTATTTGCTAGGCGGGCGGCCGGAGGAGAAATCGGGGCGGACCTGGTGGTGGTGTTTTTTTAAGCGGGCTGGGTAGTCGTTCGAGCCGAGCAAACGAGGACGGGAAAAGGGAAGAGGAAGTAATAATGGGAAAAAATAACAAAAATAACAGTACTGAATGCAAGAGAAGACAGAAACAAAGAAGATGAATGAATGTTTGGGCAACAAAAGAGAAACGGTAGGAGAACAGTTATGGGAAGAGAGAGGGAGAGTGATGTAGGAGTGAAACGGGCAGGGGATGCGAGAGCCAGTAGAAAACATCACCAACCTACGGCGACCAAGTTGTTTTAGCGGTTTTAGCGCAGGTAGGTCTGACAGCTTCAGCCCAGGTCTGGTCGTCACAGGCCAGGCCGGGTCTCCTTCTCCACACAAAACAATTCACGCAAAACAAGATTTAAAATTGATTAAACAGCAGGTTTTCTATCCCAATTCGATCCAATTCATCTGACAACCAACATCGCCGTCTCTCTTCCGCAGCGGGGAGGCTTGCGGTCCGCGGGTTAGTGCAGCACGCTATTGGTGGAGCGCGTTATGCATGTCAACAATGCAGCGCCGGTCGCACGAGACGAAAAGAAAGAAAATAGTAAGGGGTTCGTTCAGAGAGATCGTCCTTCTTCAGCACATGCACAACATTGACAAGAAACAAAATCAGGGTAAGAAGGAGAGAAATGGTTTAGTCACTTAAAGAGGTTGCAGCAACTCTGACCAACGCTCTTACCCCTTTTCCCCCGCCTTCTTCTTGTCAGCTTATCCCCCCCCCCCCCCCCCGCCATTCCACAGCTTCGTCTCGATATACGATCCGTTCTCTTTGTGCGTCCCCGGGATGGCCTCTCCGCATTCCATCCAGAGGCAGAACTTAAAGTGGTTTTTTGGCCCTGTGCGACAGTTGACATCATGGTCGGTGCCGTGCGTTGCGTGCAAGGACCAGAAAAGCCTTTCCCCCCACGAGCTCTGCACAGCATTGAGGGGAAGTCCTCCAGAGTGTCCCTTCGTTGATGGCGCGAACCTGTGGATGGGCTCACCAATTTTTTCCCTCATCCACATCATCCACAATCTGATCCTCGTCGGCACAGCAGCCACATTGCCAGCCCATGCGACTTGGGACGCACGTGTTTGCGCACGTGCCTCTATTGAAACCACAATATCATCCCAGGTTGCGTATTAAGAATGGTGGTGTTTGATATTGTCCAGGGTTCTTTGCTTGGAATGATGTGAAACTTGAACTTCTATGCTTGTAAGAATGAAACCAACTCATCATCAGCACTGATTCGTGACGACGCCGAGGCGCATGTCGATCATGCACCGAAAACCAAGTCACAACACAAAGCGTAACTACGTGTCAAAATGCGGTTTGAAGCTCACTACGTACAAAGCTTGCAGCTCAAGTCAATCAATCATCTCACGAATCCAGAGTTATAATTATCATGCATAATGAAGTACTTGAACAAAAGTTGCAATTCTTCATCCCACATTAAGATTCCTTTTATTACATATGCCCATCGTCTTTTTCATGACTTTACAAGTGCCACATTTTCCTTCTTTGAAACCAAATATGACGGGCCAAAGCCAGCCAACGTCCAACATGGCCAAAAACGCCTTCCTCGCCGGGAATATAATCCACACAAGTCCTCCAAAACGCCACCCATGAATACCATGCTCAGAAAACCAAAGCAAAAGAGCATCAGGCCGAGATCAAAAAAACTCATGCAGAAGCCTCGATACCCATCTTAATATCCTCCATCGACCCCGACGTGTTCTTGCTACCAAAGACACCACTCATCATCTCCTCCCCAGAAGGCTTGTTACCATCCGTGGGAAACTGCAGGAACTGGTCCACGTCAAAGTCGGTGCCCGCCACCGCGTTCCAGTCAAACTCGTCGTGACCCTCCATGAAATCCATGTCCATCGGGTCCGCCTCGGTCGGCAGCTCCTCCGAGAAACCGCTGGCGCTGGGCGTCAGGCCCGTCGTGTCAAAGTCGGTGTGCGGCGGCGAGTCCGTCATCTCCAGCGCGGCCGCGTTGACCGTGTTGGGTGGCAGCATGGCCGTCTTTCCAAAAAGCGCATCCTGCAGGCTCGCCAGGGTCTGGTTCTCCGGCGGCGGTGTGTGCACCGACAGCCCAAACGGCAGACCGTTGGGCATCATGTCGCTCGCCGCCGACTGGTTGATTTGGCTAAGCTGACTGATTCGGCTGGCCAGCGCGGCCGACACGCTGCTGCTGCTGCTACCAGCGTTGCCCGAGCCAACGCTAATGTCCGCCTTGCGTAGTGCCGCATCTAGGAATCCGGTAGCGTAGTCGGCCGCTGAATAAATCTCCCGCAGCTTCTCCATGACACGCATGCATTGACGGAAGCCAATCATGGCTCGTTCGCGCGCCTCCTTTGAGGAGCCCTTCATCTCCAACAAGTGGATAATCATGGCCGGCAGGATGACCGTCACGCCGGTTGTGGGGAGGTACTTTTCCAGACGGAAGTTGTGCAGCTCTGTAACCATGCGCGTGATTTGCATGGCCGAGTCGCGGACCTTGACGCGCGACATGTCCTGCACTTGGCGCGAGGTAGTGGGCATCTGCGTCGGTGACGAGGGCAGGAACTGCGGCCGGTGAAGTGCCGAGATGGTTGTCTGATGGACCATGTGCAGAAGCGTGCGGTGGACCGTGACAGTCGAGCGGCCACCCTCGGTGTCAGCTTCCGTGAGCGGGCGGTACCGGCAGGACTCGGGCAGGCTGTCGGCCCACGCACGCAGCTCGGCGTCAATCGTGTCAACGGCATCGACATTCTCAAACTTGTTGGGGAACAGCATCATGGTGCTGTTTGTTGTGTTCTCGGGTTTCATATTGTCGCGGATCAGCACCGAGTACTGCGTCTTGAGCATGTGGCTGATGCCAAGGCAGAGTTTGGCCTTGTGAATGCACAGGGTCGCCAGCTCGCGCTGCATGGCCAAATCGCGAATCACGACACACTCGGCGGGAAGCAAGCTGTTGTTGTCCGCCAGCGTCTGAATTTCGAAATCGCTCTCCATCAACATGGGCACATCAAAGTCCTCATCCTTGATGCGGGTGGGTCGGCGCATGCCCAGGGCGATGAGCCTGTCTCTCATAAAGCAGGACCACCAAATACGCTTCCAGAGCTTGCGCTTGCTCTCAGTCATCGAGTTGGCGCCAGGCTTGCGGTGCAGGCCAATGGTGTGGGCCAGCGAAATGGCGACACCCATCCAGTGCCAGGTGTCTTTCTGGTCATCTGGTGTCTCATACCAGTAGGTCATGAGCAGCAGAGACTGTACTAGGACCAGGCGGTCTGATTCGTAGTCGAAATCGTATAGCAGCTAGATTCACATGTCAGCAGTTGCCGTCTTTGAAAAGGTGCGTGGTTGGGGTGCGGGGAAGCAGTTGTGTGATTGGTGGCTTGGCTTGCTTACCCTTGTCTTCTGAAAAAAGGCTTTGCGAGCAGCCTTGCGACTTGTATAGCCGGCCTCGCGGAGACGTTTCATATCGACCGATGCGGTGGCGGCAAAGAGCACGGCATGGTAGAGCAGCAGGCTCATCTGACCATTAAATCCATTGCGGTTGTTGACGATGCTAAGGAAAGGGTGGAGGTCCATGAGCGGCATAAAGGGGTGGATATACTCGACGTAGGCCTGAAGCAAGGCATTCTGGAGAGGGATCGCGGGCAGCGTCAGAGCGCCCTTCATCTGGAGATAGCTCACATCCTCGGGGGTGATCTTGCTGGGTAGCGGGCGTAGGAAAGGCGGGAGCTGGGGTGTAGGCTGAGCCGCGGCGTGAAAATGAAACTGGTCGAGCGAATTGGTAAAGTTCTGGGTAGCAGAAGCGATGCCCGAGTCGCCAAAAAGTCGATTGGGGTTGACGGTGTTGCTGTCGCCGCCCCAGAGGCTGCTCGACGTCGGACTGCCATGGCTGTGGTCGATGGAGGCCTGGCTCAGCAAGTCTGGACGAAATCCGGAGCGCTGATCTAAATGGTGCGTGTCAGCTCTGATCCCGTCGTCAGGTATGGAGCGATTGGGATGGGATTAGCACTGGGGGCAGGTCGCAAAACTGAATCAAGCTAAGCGACCTTCACATGTGAAATGGATAATGGATGATGTAGTGTTGGAGAGGCGTTGATTCTCGTGACTGAAAAGAGTGGAGATGTTGCAAGCGGCGCAGGGGCCCAGGGACGGGTGAGATGGATTTTACCCATGGGGGAGGGGGGGGGGAGGATCAATGATGTGGGATGGATTTTGCGGGCTGAAAAAAAATGCAAATGAATAAATGCAACAAGAAAAAACAGGGGCCACGACTAGTGGCATGAATCCTTTGTTGCGCTGGCCCCTTTCGATGAGGTACGGTGCTCGTTTGGTGCTGTCGCAATGACGAATGCAACAAGCCACTAACACGGCGGCTTGATGGCGGCGTGGCAATGTGACGGAGGAAAGAGCTGCAGAGGGGAAATTGCAGTGCCAAGCACTAGACGAGAGACGAGCATCAAGTTCAAACTTACAAATAAGATGCGGCATGTGTGAGTCCACCATGCAGTTGGGCATGAGACCACCCAGGCTGTCGATGCCGCTCGTCGTCGTGGCCGACGAAAAGGCCGACGCTGTGCTCTGTCGTCGCAGGTTATTCGAGGCGATTGGCGTAGCTGCACCATTGTCGAGCGCATTCATGTACCCGTTGCTGATGCCCGATGACGGCCCGTCGTCGACGTTGGCACTGTTGCTGGTGGTGGTGGTGGCTGTCGTCGTCTTGGAGCGAATTTGAGCCTCGGCTTGGTTGTTTTGGCCCACGGCACTTGCCGCCAAGGTGCTTTTCCTAAAGAAATGGGGTCAGTGGATCGGCTCGCAAAAAAAAATATAGGTGTGGCTAAAATGAGGTGAGCTGCCCCCCTCCCTCCCCCGGCGCCCCGGAACCCCGGAGGGTCCCCACTTCGGAGGCCGCAAAGTTCTAGTAATTGACTAGTAACACGCAGGGTAATAAAGAGGGTAAGAAAGCAGGAGGAGGGGAGGGGGCCAAGCAAACAAGGTTGGGGAAAGCCACGCAGGGGAAAAATGGTTTGCTAGCGTCAACGATGAGACGGCCTTGTTGGTGAGACGTGCGGCGCGTCTCTCCGGTCCTCCGTTTGGCCCCGTAGACAAATGCTAGGCAACCGCACAACGCAACAAGAAAAAAAAACCTGTTCAAGTTTCACATGGAAACGAACGCGTGGCCGCCCGTTGGGGTAGGGGGGCAAGGATCGGATTTGGGGTAGCATGGGCAGACCGGAACACTTACTTGCGCCGACGGCTCTCTTGAACAATGCACTGTAAGCTATTGTTAGTATTTTGCTTATTGTAGTGGTTTTTTTGGAGTGGTTTTGGAGAAGCTGCTGGGTTTCGAGCTGTAGCGTCCAATAATTCCACAACGTAGAGGAAGCTCCAGTCGTGATCCCATTGACCTCGCACCGTATTGTTGCACGTACCTCGACATTATCCCAGCGACAGTTTCCGCAAGGCGCACCCTCGACCACGTCGCAGCGGACCTTGCGTGCGCGACACGAGACGCATGCGCGGGCGGCTCTTCGCTTTGTGACCTTGACGACGCCGCCATCCGCGGAGCTGCGCTTCTTGACGGAAACGTTGCTCTCTGTCTTGGTCAGCGGCGGCGGCGAGGGCGAGCCGCTCCCCATGGAGCTGGTATCTGTGGTGGGCGCCATTTTGTGTTTGGCTTGTCGTGTAGTAGACGATGAGTTGTATCGGTTTCAACGGCTCTGTAGTGGCGCGAAGCTTGAGCGCAAGCGACACCAGAGAGTAATGTGAGTTGTGAGATTCGTGTTTCTTGTTGTGCGACGGATTCCGATGATGGTTGCGTCGTTTTCAAAGGGGTAAAGTAAGCGTAAAGGTTGTATTTTGGTTTCTTGTCTCGGCTTGTCGCTGTGGAATGTTTGGACGGATTGAGTGAGTGAGAATGTGGCGGATTCTGGGTCGCCAAAAGTAAACTTCAGTCTGGTGTAGAAAGAAGGAAAAAAAATCATAGACAGAATTCGCAGTCCACAATAAAGGGGGACGAAAGAAACAAGTCTGGAGACGCAAGGCGTAAGAGCTTAGTGTGTAAGATGATGTCGTCGAGGTGTGCGATGGTTGGCATGTGAGTTGGCGGTTTCCAGGGGTATAGCGACAAACGGCGACAGAGGGGTATAAGAACCGACAATGATGAGAGGAAGAGAGAGAGATGGTTCAAGGAAAGAGTTTTGTGAATTTTGAACCAGGCAGCGGCAGTTTAACAAGGAATCCGGGGTCGGGGGAAGTGGAGGGGGAGGGGAGGAGGACGGGTGTGGAGGGAATATTATATTCGTTCAGACTACTGAAATTTACAAAAAACACCAACAAGTAAGTTATTATTATTATGGATATGCTACCTTGACGAATCGTAGCTTCCCCCTCCACTCCTGTCATTGTCCGTGGCAAGGACCGACCTACATATGTGCGCACATGGCTCCGTCAGCGGACGGACGGCGGGTGTGGAGCTATGTGGGAGAGACTTTTGCTCGCAACGTCGTCGTTTGCAACTTGCCGGTGGAAGAAATAACAGTGCGATAAATGTGAATACTGAATAATAAATAAATAAATAATAATAATAATCATAAATAATAAAAAGGCTTGGTATTGGCAGCGCCTTCTGGGGAGCTACCTACGGGGCTATGGGGTTACGGGCTTGCGGGGTGACACTTTTTTTCTTATTTTTTTCTCGCTTCAAATTATGTATTAAATTGTATAAATATATCTTCTGCTCCCAAGATCCACGGAGAAGCCGGCTTTGGCAACCACCTGAGCAGCAGAAAAAATAAAAATAAAAGAGCTGGCCCCCAGCAAGACCAGTTTGTTTCAGTCCCACCCCCGGCGCAGAGGAACAGCGCTGGGCCACTCACAGAGGCACTAAAATAATGCTGCTCTCGGCGCACTCCATTCCTTGTTCGGCCCCATTGGCCCTCCCTGGTCCCAATTCGGTACCTGTCTCCCCTGCCCAACTTTGCGGGGCTAGCATGTACCTTTGCGCGTTCAACCCTCTCTGTGCGCTGAGCCTCTGACGGCCTACCCAGCCCAGCCTATAGGCAACTCGTAACTTAACTACTGGCAGCACCACACCTCGCTTTCTTCAATTCAAGTACGAGCTCCATCTCCACAAGCTTGTCGTCATCATATCGGCTTTATGCTTCTCTTCTTCCTCCCAACGGGCCCGAGTCGCCCGTTCCAACGTCTTGTTACCCATACAGCGCGCGCCCGCCCAACTACTTCAACTACACCGGCTTAACCGTCTGATGAATTGCAGTATGAAAATAAAATCGCCCAGCGTAAAAAAGAAACGAGTCATAAAATGCAAAGAAACTAGAAAGAAAGCTGTACTGTTCCCCAGGTCTTGCCACGAATCACTTTCCCTGATCGCCTCATCAAGGTTTGGGGCTACGCTCGCTTCATCGTACCACGGCCCTCCCCCCTTTTTGCAATGTTCTGGATGATTTTCTGGGGCAAGCCACACTCTGTCTTTCTTCAGTCTCAGATGACTCCTGGCAACTCTCAGACACGTCCATCGAAAATTGACATGTGCACTCCCGTTAGCGCCTCTTTCGCTACGTCAATGCGATGGAAACTCTACTTGGCCAGCTTGGCAATCCATCAAGACCAACAAGGACCACGACAACCATGGAAAGATGTTGGACGGCCTCATTCTCCCTTGGTGCTGCGTCTCAATACGCTTGCATTACAATTGTCTTTCATCCGCATTCCAGAAATTGACAAATGAAGAGCATAGTGACAGCCCCGTCTTATATGTTACAAAGCTTGCTGTTAGTTTCAGCAGCTAACCTGCCCGCATCTGGCCAACACTGTCATGCTCGTCGCTCATCGGCCTCGCCCAGTCCGTCATCTGTGATCTCTAACTAACTAGTCAGTCTCTGCAATTGCCAGCTCTGACCACTTTTCAATCAATTGGTCACCAGATCCCTCTGGTCCTTCTACATAGCTGGCTGAACATACGGCATTCCCTCATTCGCTCGTTAGCTTCCCTTCTCCAGAACCTAGCGGGATCCTCCCTTCTCCATGATGAGCTCCATGATGAGGCTCTGCAAACGTGGTGGAGAGTGGAACCCAACAGACGGAAACCCTCATGCATTGACAGTAATAGTTTCGCACCAGGGCAAGTATCATGAGCATCCAAACTCAACCCTGCTGCCTGTGTTTATTTGCTCGTCCGACCTTTGATACAGAAAGAAAGAGAAAACCCCCGTTGAGTAGAGGATATGAGACAGATCATTCTAGCAATCTGAACCGATTCGTCGAGTGGTTGCGCAAAGACGCCGCCTTGGCGCCCAGAGGTTTCGCTTCCCGCTGCTTTTGCGGAGGAGGTGGGTTTGAATTGAGTTTCTCTTCTTTTTTTTTCTTGCCCGGGCGCGTGCTCCGCCGCCTCCGACCCAATCCAATGACTAGATGGAGAAATCCAATGACACTCTAGTTCACCGAATTGGGGTTAGAGACGCTCAATATTTTACCAACTCTAGTTAGAAATTGGCACTTTCAGCCAGGCTATTTTGGCTCTTATTCGCTGTTTCCAAGCTCCATCTATTGCAAGAAACAGTTCCGGCCAAAGTGTAGAAACGAAACATGTCACTTCTCGTTTCAGGCAGATTGATCGCTGGCCGTCATGATAATGGCCGAGCCATGCAGGTAAAACAGCAAGGCTGGTGAAAACAGCTTCCCCCGCCCCTCCAACCCGACCGCACAAACAGGCCAACAGGCTTCAAGTCTAGATCGTCATGGTTGGCATCGGCGTCCCGGTGGGGCCCCATCCGGAGCTCCGGGACACGCTCACTGTCCGTCCCTCACCGGATGATGACCCTATTTTCTTCTGCCCTCTTCGACCTGTCGCCACTGTCCTCGACTACCCTATCCCTTGAACCTGCGAGAACCGAAATGCCTCCTCTAAACCCTAATACACCTTTTAAGCGCTCGGCCTCTGAATGCTTCATTCTACAACACCGTCCGCGACGTCGTGTGTCCATTTTTACCTCGACAGGCTACGCCAGAATGTTGTGGAGAGGGACGCAACGGACTGCCGGCATAGAGCTGCAGCGCATCAGAGACAAAAAGACGAGACAAGTATTTATTTTTCCAAATCCCCAACAAAAATGGCCCGCTAGATTCTGCAATGGCAGTCCCGGACGGTAAATAACGAGAGCCGCGGAGAGTCCCCCGCCACCGCGGAAATACAACGCGAGAATGAGGCGGAAAAAGGCTGCAGGAGTCAAACATGGTCTCATTTACCCCCTGGAGAAAAATATGGAGTTTTGATTTTGGCTTGGGCTTGGGCTGAGCAGTTGGCGAATGCTCTTTCACATGTTAGACGTCATGTCCTCTCATCATGCTCATTGGCTTTTGGCACAGCTTGTGCTTTTGGTCCCCGCCGCAGAACCCCAACAAACCCCATGTGGTCTTTTGCGAAAAAGTCCGGTCGTCGATCTTTTCCCCGTGATCTTGGGCCATGTCTTGTCCCAAAAAAAAACTGGAGAAATCTCGCTCAACTCTTCGCAACCGACGTCAAAATCATGTGCGCCCCCTGCCCACCACGCTAGGTTTTGACGAACTCACATGTATCTCATCACGGTGACCCAGGATCGGACTTTTTGGTTGAAAAATCCACGGACGAGCACCACACAACCCTCCTCGCTAGCAAGGCACAAAGCGGTAGTTGGGAAGGCAATGGCGGATGGGTAGGGTTGGACCTTCAATGGAGAATATACTGCCCGATTGAGAAAAGGTCGGGCAAGGCCAACCAGTAGAGTCTTTCATTGCAAGACATGGCGTCGCCCTCCGCAAAAACGAATAACAAGGTAGTCATTTGTGGGACGTTTCCCACCTCCGTGGGCTCCATGGAACGGTCAGGGCGGCTCGGACGGAAGAGGCGGATAAGTCCCAAGGTGTGCCTCTCAGCCCTTTTTTTCTTTCTCCTCTGACGTGAGGAGCCAATAGAGGGCTATCATTTGTGAGATTTACTCAGGAGCTAATGAACGAGGCAACAAAAAAGCTCACCTATGGGATAAGGTGGCTGGCTGGTCTATAGAAGTGGCTTGTGGCTTGCCTTGTATTGCGACATTACTACAACATTTTGAGAACCATAGGGTAGCCGTCAACAATGAAGAGTCAAGGTAGCAGGAAGAGGTATCCCGCGTATCGCTGCAGCTCCCAGGAAACTCCTCGTCCCTGTAATTCACAAACATGAGGGGCACCATTCCGATGGTATGTAGATTTATTCGGCTTGGCAGTCCATGTTCACCGTTGTCGGAATCGGCAACGACACGGCGGAGGACCGAAGCGCCGCTGTCCTCCCTTCCGGAGCTCCGCCCGGGCGCGTTTATATCGACTCACAACGGTGGCGGCCGACTTTTGCATCATGCGCTGTTTTTTGTTTCATACATGCCGAACATGCAGAAAAAAAAAAGGCCTGCATATGCAGGACCCCAGACACACCAAAAGAAAACGAAAAGGTTTATATTAGAGGTAAACGCACATGTGCATCCTGCTATGGGCCGCAGGATGTTATACAGCTCGCCACCGTCATGTACAGGGGTCGCGGCGGGATAAAGGAATCAGTGCTGTAAGAAAAAAAAAACTTCGCGCGCCATTTATTCAAGAGGCGTAATAATCAGAAACCCTCAGTGGCATGCGGGCGGCCCGTCGACGTCGATTATGGCGCCTTGATGAATTGTATTAGCGTTCTAACTGGTAATCCTCGTTCGGCGGTTCGCCGTCCATCATCACGACTTATTCCCCAGAAGCCAAGACTTGGGGAACGGGCCAAATATAGCGGCACGTCTAATTTGTAAAGTCTTCCCATATACAAATGATTGAAGAATGAATCAGAAACAATGTGTCAACTCAGTGTCCCCCTTGCGCCTGCCAATCCATGTCCACGCCCAACAAAGCCCCGGATCCGAGCCGCCCTCTCCTGCCCGTCGGCGCTCCGAACTGGAGCGCTCGGAAAACGAGCCTCCAACAAAATCCCTTGTCGCACCACCACCACCATGGACAAGCGATATTGCCCAGTCTCCCATTCGTCCTCTCCCCTCATCCTCCTCCTCAATACGTTTTTTCGAAACATCGAATACATATCCTGTTTCTGTTCCTGTTTCCGCCTTTTCTTTTTTTTTTTCCCGTTTCAACCTCTTCTCGTTGCACGGTCTTATTTCCTGCCCCGTTCCACTCCACGTTCTTGGACTCGTGCGCAATGGGGACGGTATATTGGGGAACTTTTTTCAAGAATGCCGACTGAGATGGAGACTCGCAAAAATCCGGGGCGAAAAGATTTTGACATGGGCTTTCGCAGACTGGAAAATGCCCCGGTAACCACTCAGCAGGGCTGATGCGACGCAGCACTGCATGGCCTGGGCCTTTTTTTTCATTCTGGATGGGTTAGGGGAACGGGAGCTGCATACTATGGGCGTCGTCGACTCGCTTGCGCATGGGAAAGGGATGATGGACGATGGTATGGCTGAGCAGCTACCGAAAGGCTCGCTGCGTCTCAGTCATTCAGCACTCTGGGATATGAGTCTACATCGCGCTGTGAGCGACTCACCTGGGAGAGTTCCTTCTCCGATGATCAAACCATATCCCCATGTCCCCCAAAATGCTCGATACCGACTTGATCATGAGCAACCTCGTTGTGTGTCAGTCAGCAACACTCTGGAATACGAGGCTGCGTCGAGATGTGAGCGACTCATCATAAGAACACTGTCACTGGCTCTCACACCCCCCATCTCATTCGCCATGCTCGACATCAGTCAAGTTCATCATGAGGGAACCTTTGACCGGCTCGACGGGAAAAGGGACCCCCACCCCTGCACAGACGGTTACCATCTCATGCAATGGCAATCAACCCCTTCTGCTCGGAACCGAACTGGATCGACTCGGCTTGCATGAGAAGACCTGAAATGGCTATCTTGCACCCGAGCATCAGTTGGACATGCGAGGGAAACGAACAATGACATCTTTCTCCTGTACCAGCAGACAGGTTGACTTCTACGGCATCACGATACGCAGCGGAAGAAATGAGTTCAACGTGGCATTGGCCAAGTCTATTTGATGACGTCCATCGGAACCCCTCCAGGGTTATTATCGCCATTTTGCTATGAAATCCACGCTCAAATATGCCAACAAAGAAAATGGACAGAAAAAGAAATGTTCCATGATGGGATGGTGGGATCTCGTCAAGACATCACAATGGGGGAAAATTCCCAAAAGAGCGACATGGCTTCTCGCCCGTGTGAAAGAAAAAAACCCAAACGCCAGCCCATTATACCCTCGCGTTATATCGCTCGAACTGCACCAATTTTCAAAACATGAGCGCTGCAAGTGCCTTTACAGACGGCTGCTGTTCGCATCATTGAACGACTTGGGTTCATAAACGTTTTGGCGAATGTACGAGGTTAGAGCGACGTCACCCCACTCCTCCCACTCGTTCCAGAGCTCTTCGGGCAGGGTGGAAACACCTTCGCGGCGGGCAGCCTTCATGACCTCACGGGCAATGATAACGCTGGCCTCGCGGACACGCTCAATACGGGGGTAGATGAGACCCTTGGCAATCTCATCGGCATTCAGGCAGTTGGCAAGAGCAGAGGCAGAGGTGTACACCATTTCGTCGGTAATGCGCGTGGCCTTGGCGAGAATGGCACCAAGTCCAAGACCGGGAAAGATATAGACGTTATTACCCTGGTTGGGGTGGTACGTGATCTCGTTGCCGCTGGGGCCCACGACAGAGCAGGATGGGAAGGGCGAACCAGAGGCAAAGATGACGGAGCCATCGGTCCAATCGATGGCCTGTTCGAAGGTGCATTCGGCCTTGGTGAGAGGGTTACTGAGAGGGAAGAGGATAGGACGGCGGTTGGGGCCACCACCGTCGACGGAGTGCTTGAGAGCACGAATGGTCGACTCGGTGAAGATGCCAAATGTGGCAGCCAGACCAACAAGAGCGCTGGGGCGAACATACTCGATGACCTCCTCAAGTGTACGGAACTGCTGGCCGTGATTGTCGGAACGGGCAAAGTACTGCTTGTGCTCAGCAAGGTGGTCACCGCGGTCCTTGGTTACAAGACCCTTGGTGTCTACGAGCCAGAAACGGTCGCGGGCCTCGCTCGGGCTAAGGCCGCGCTTGGTGTAGTACTCGACAAGCTGCTTGGCGACACCGACACCGGCGGAACCGGCACCCATGAAGACAAGGCGCTGGTCGTCGATAGGAACGCCGGACAGGTTGACAGCACCAATGTAGCCACCGAGGACGACGGCACCAGTGCCCTGGACATCGTCGTTGAAGCAGCGGTGGGTGTTGCGGTAGCGGTCGAGATAGTTGAAGGCCTTTTCGCTTTCAAAATCCTCAAACTGAACAACCATGTTGGGATAGACCTCCTTGACGGCGTCCATGAACTCGTCCATGAATTCTTGCTGGACGGACTTGGGGACGCGCTTCTGGCGGAGACCCAGGTACAGAGGGTCCTTGAGGTTGGACTCATTGTCGGTACCCGTGTCGAGGACAATGGGCAGGGTCTTGTCGGGGCTGATACCGGCGGCAGCAGTGTACAGAGAAAGCTTGCCAATCTGAAACTGTTAGCATGCGCAGCAGACGGGGCGCCGAGGTGATGTGAGCTTACAGAAATGCCGACACCATTTACACCGAGATCACCAAGACCGAGGATACGGGAGCCGTCGGTGACGACGCAGATCTCGGGGTTGGTGCAGGGCCAGTTACGGAGCATGGTCTTGATGGAGCGGCGCTGCTTGATGGAAATATACAGGGCCTCGGGGCGAGTATACAGGGTTGAGTACTGCAGGCAAACATCGCCAATGGTGGGGGTATATACAAGGGGCATGAGCTCCCGGATGTTGTTCATGAGGAGACGGTAGAAGAGATCGATATTCTGGGCCTTGAGGTTTGACAGGTAGAGATACTTGTCAATGCCGGTCTGGCGGCTCTGGATCATCTTCATGGCACGGATGCTCTGGGTCTCGAGGCTCTCCATGGTGTGGGGGATGAGGCCGGTGAGGTTCTTGGCGACACGCTCCTCGGGGGTAAAGGAGAGACCTAAACAGGCGGGTGAGCGGTGAATGGAGGGCAGACGGACAGAGGCCGCAGCTCGACGGGCCGAAACCACGACGACGCAAGCGACCATGACAAGCCAACATACCCTTGTTCCAGTGAGGTTCACGGATGATTTGATAGCCGGCGGCAGCGGACTCCTCCATGTATTCGGTGGGTTGGGTTTGCTTTACTTCGGCGAAGCGGTCTTGAGAATAGCCGCGGTGTTGATCCAAGCTGGTCAACTTCATGGCTTCCTGAATAGCGGAAATGTCGACTGCACTCATTGTGTTTCGCTTGGTTAGCCTGGGAGCGGAAAAGGATTGTCTCGAGGTGGAGGTTTGCGATGTGGAGCGGATAGAGAATCTAGAGATGGACCGAGCCGAATTTCTAGAGCCAATGGAGGAAAGGGAGGCAGAGCGAGGTGTGACTCTGTCGGACGTGTCTGGGCTGATGGGATAGGACGAAGCCATTTGCAGAGCAGAAGCACGCAACAGGGATGGAGGGTGACGAGCGAGAGGGTTGTTTGCTAGACCATTGGCTAGAGCAGAGAATTTTGGTCTCGACATGACACCGAGGGTTGGGGGAAAGGGGAAGATATATGAATCTTGGGACGGTGGCAAGTGGAGAAGGGACCAAGGCGAAGTGAAGGTCACGAAGCAGGTTGAGGGACGGTCCGTGTTGGAGGCGCTGAGATTGCAGAGGACGAGACGCTGGACAAGGACGCCACGGGGCTACCCAAGGCAAGGATGGTGGAAAGCCGAGTGCAAAGCAGTATGGGATGGAGGGGGTGTGGAATGGGAAGAAACGAAGGCAGCAACGGACGTTTCAACGAGTTGGGAGAAATCCAAAAGCCAGAGGAAAAAGTGTGCGTTGTGGGAGCGACGGTGGTGGGCGAGCCGCAAAGTGAGGCAGCGGATGAGCATCGGAGGGGGATCCAGAAAAAATTTGGAGTAAGAGTTGAGCTGAGGTTCCGACTCGGGAGGGAGGGAGGGGGGGGGGGGGGTGTGCTAAGAGAGTCTGACTGGACATGGACCCCCATGGCGGGCTCAACAAGCCAGCCGGGATGAATAGGAAGAGCAAAGCAAGGAGGCAGAGGATGAGGGAGACGAGGGAGATGGATTCAAGTTTTGGAAGAGTGACAGATGGGCATACCTGCTGGGATTTTGGCAGACGAGGTCGAGGGGTTTGGTCTGGGCGACGTTTCAAGAAGAGGAGGGTAGTATAGCGAGTATTGACTCAGGTCGAGTGTAGCAGCTAGGACGATGGCGAGGATAGTACCGCAGGCGAATAGAAGAAGCAGTGCCAGTGTTGGAGAAGCGTTTGTCTTGTTTGCTTTCCCTTTTTTTCTTCTCAAAGTGACAAAAGTGAGGTTGTAAGAGAGAGGGGAACGCAGAGTGACAACGAGGTGAGCGCGGGACGAGGCGAGTCTAATAAAGTATCGTTGGAGGCAGCGACTTGCCGAGCCAACCCCACGATGTACCTATTTGATTGCGGGAAAAAAAAATCAACAGACCACGCACAAGGAAACAGGTCCGAGGGGACAAAGGAAAAAGGAACTTGAAGAATTCGGAGAAAGCGAGACGCGGAAGGGGGTGAGGTTAGACAGATGCGTCTCTGCGAGCCGTGCCTGGTCGGCTAGGTTAGCGTGGAGGTACCGGTACATGGGGAGCAGCCCAGGAGAGTGCTTGGATTGGGTACTGAGTACTCCGTACTTGGGGTTGGAGAGGGAATGAGGGCCGGGCAAAGTCGCAACAGCCTCTGACGGGCGGCTCCGGGAGAGGCTGGTTACTTACTCGGTAGTAATACGATCATCTTCTGTATTCTTTTGTTTTCTTTATTACTATTATTCTCTTGATTCTATTTACTCTTCTTATCTTTCCTATTCTTTTTATCTATATCCTTCTAATCTTTCATATATTCTTTCCCCTTCTCCAGTGCGTGGACTATCTGTCTGGCTAGGTACTATTAAGGTAGTTTTTTGTCCCGCGCATGGTACGACAGCTCACACTGGTAATTTCGAATTTTGGAGAAAACTGGAGTCTTTTTTCTTATGCAATCCGGCTGATTGAAAATTCTCACGCCTTATTTTTCTTCTCAATTGCTCGCTATTTTCCTCAATATTTTCCGGTAGCAATTTCCAACCAACGGTCATGTAGTACGTTGGCCGGTACCATTGTAACTTGGTACCTGCAGGTTGTCGCGTGCTCCTTTTCCCTGTAATACAGAGTAACAGGCCACGAGCACCAGGCACCGCCTCATCCGTATTCGAGTCAGCACTGAACCGCAAAAAGGAAACCACTGCCGAATCGTCTTTTTGGCACATACATCAATCAAACAATGCTCTGATTTGTTGGGCACAAGCGCCGTTGTGAGCTGGAAAGTCCCAACCACCACCACCACAATGACGCTACCCCCATGTCTCGCTTCCTCTCTGTGGTCCGTATAATGCCCGTATCGGGCCTGGACATTGCTACTACCTTGTATTACCTCTTTTGGCGCTGCGGCCCTGGTAGTTTCTACAGCGTCTGTACTTGGCGTCTACAACATCAGATGAGCGAGTCCTTGCCCGCCTAGGTAGTTAGTCCGCGACACAGAGAGCCGACGTATCCGTGTTTAATTGTACAAGACATACATGTTATAAGTGATAGGCAATTGTGGTCAAATACAAACCGTACCAAGGTGCTCTGATAGATTGCATTTATTTTCGGATCCAGCACGTCACGCCACAAGACGGCTTCCCCCACGCTCCACTGTCCCGGCCAAGCCAACTGGGTCGGCCGTCTCCTGTGTCCAGCGCCGCTTCACCACCGGAGGAGCTCCTTGAGAGCATCGGCGACCATGTCCGTCTGCCATAGTTACCCATTGCCTACCCAGAAAGGATCAAGAAAAAAGCGCAACGGAATTGCCAGCTTGCCATGTTTCTACACTCCCCAATTACATACTACCTTCATCAACCAATCAGTAGCCCTTGAGCAGTTCCCCAAGCACAGGCCCCCCAGGCCGTTTGCTTCCTCCCCTGCCAGCTGCCGCGGCCGTTTGCATGCGGATGGTCCCTCGTCGGGCATCAACAACGATCCTCTCTCCTACCCTTGCCTTCTTCCTCATGACGATAATATTCAGGCTCACGCCATCACGCCCAGACCTCTTGTGTCTCCCCCTGCACAGCCCGTCCACCAGACGAAACACCCGCGTCCGGAACACCATGCCGGGGCAGCTGTGACATGGCAAAAAAGGGAAGGACCTCCCGCAGCTAGCTGTATCGGCGGCGTATCGCAGACAATGGGACAATGGGCAGCAACACGGCGGCATTGGCGTTTCAGAAGGAAAACCCTGCGACAATTCGCGAGTTACTCGCAGCTGTTATTCTTACAATTCCCGTCTTGAAGCCGCTTCCCGACCTTCCCCTTTCGATATCACAATGGCCAACAACAACATAACAGCCCTTGTCCCTCTCCCATACCCTGGATGCCATCAAACGTTACCTCCGTCAAACTAGCAAGGGCACTTCGTTCTGGAAAATGTATTGGCCTTCGAAACTCATTTCAGCTAGCCCAAGTTCCAGCTCGTCTGGATGCTCCACTACGGCTGCCGCATGGCTATCCTGGGTTGGAGAGCTGGGATGCGCTTCTGCCGCCAAGTACCTGTAAGTCGTGGCCCTGGGCAGCCCAGCCCCTGTCGACCACCTGGTCTTGTTCCAGGAACGAATATCTGACATATTTAACATTTTAATTTCTCGAAAGCCGCTTCGTCTAATCGGTATTCAGCTTCCACAATAGTATACCGACCCCCAACCCGCCAATCTTCAGCAATGGCATCATGAAGAGCAAGGGAAAAAACGCATTACACGCACGTATTCCGGTGTCGGGGTCCGTTTCCTTAGCGCAGACCCGCCATCTTTGAGTGGCCTGGAACACCTTCCGTCAGCGCCCAACAATTGCCCGCCAAACCCAAATGACCACAGTGGATTTGGTATTTGGAGAAGCGTTTCCACACTAATTGGAGTCATCGTTCTTGTTCGACGACGATGCAAGGAAATGTTCCTGTTGAACAGCCACCGTTTTGTTAGATGCTTGTGTAGCACTGCTAGCGGTGTGCTCGCATCGCGACAGGAATTCCATATTCCAAGACGGCTTGCACATCAGACTGGAGCGGGCTGCGCATCTTCCTGACGCCGAACATCAAACACCTACCCCGTACGGCAAAATTGCAACTTATTTGGCATCAATACTAATAACATGCTCCGCCGCGAAAACGGAGCAAGCAACCTCATGTGACCCCAAACTTTTTTTACATTTCCCCAACTGCTAGCTTCCGAATTCATCCGACAGAATGGGGACCCCTCATGCTCCCTGGCGCCTCCAAACCGTGCTAATGACACGCCCTACAGCTTTCCAGTGGACCGTTCCCCAACGGCCAGAACTTTTGGTTCACCAAGGACGACAACGAAGGGTTAACCGTCGGCAAACCAGCAACAGCTCTGTCCAAGCCGTTTGCGCTTGGGGCAATGCATCCCCTCGCCGCCGATAAAGCATGAATGTACACAAGGATCGAGTGAACTCGAGCCGTTTCTGCACCGTGTCGTCACTGTCGAGACACGACAACTGAGACTGGAAATTGCCGTTACCCGAGGGTTTAATATGCAAGGATTTCGTTTTCGTCTTCTTTTCCGCCTTTCCATGCCACCGGCCTTAGGATATCTGACTGCCCCTCTGGCCGTCCAAGCGTCTACACGACTTCAGCGCCCTCTGCCGCAGTCGTGGCTTTTGCGACTGACACATTCAGGTTCCGTCAGGACCAACAATTACACATTACACCGTAATTCATCAGTAAAGCACCTACTGGGCTGTAGTAAGAAAGCATTGGCATTACCCACATGCCACATTGGTCCAGCAAAAGCGTGCTCGGTAGCAGATCACAGATACGAAGACTTGTCATGCAGTCACCACTCACCCAGCACTCGGTATTGATCACTCGACAAGAGCACCAGCTAACGGCTATGGCTTGATAGAACTGCAGCCGCAGAATGCTACCACATGTAATGTAATGCAGGCTCCTGTTTCATCCAACGTCGGCTTGAATCGGTTAACATGTGCTGTCCCCAGATGCATCGCTGCTCACGACACACATGTCAATCACAGCCGCTGTCCATGGCAAAGGCTCCCCGCTCCTCTTGCGCAACAGCATAAAATAATATAAGTTGTGCGCCCATGTTGAAGTTTATGCGTTACAACGAACCAAATGCAGTTCTGTGCTTCAGGATAGAAAGGAAAATCGGCCGCCTGCTCCCGCATCTTTCCGATCTCGGTACGTTCTGGGAGCTTGGTAGTCATTCAGGGCACCCGGCTCCCCTCCCCCCGCATCCACAAACGAGAGCTGTATCTCATCATCACCCCACGCTTATCTCTCTCCTAACGCCCAGTTGTCCCCTTTTTTACCCCGGCTCATTCTTATTTACTGGTTCCCCATTTGCAAAAGCAAAGCGCTCTTCTATTATTGGTTGACGCTGGATGACTGAGCCGCTTTTTTTTGTAGTTACCAGACTGCTGTGCGACTTGGCCTGCCACGCCGCCGGCTTCAGCTTTTCACATGGCAAAACATGGAGGGGTAAGCCACCCTCCCACGTCGAGTCGAATGAACCCTCGACACGATCCTATTCTGTCAAGCTTACTCTTGAACAGATCTCGCTACTGCCCCCCCCCCCCCTCCTGCGCTACCCGACTGCCGTTAGTGTTTGCTGCCCATCCTGCCACTTGCACGTGCAAATCGGTTTCCCCTCCAACTGGGGAGAGGGGGGACGCTTGCGCTCTTCTTTAAGCCTCATGAGGTCGGTTCACGCACCCCTGCCCTCTTCATCCAAATAGCACATGAAACTCTTCATCATGTATGCCATGCAGGTCTTGATCTTCCCGACATATCCCCCCCCTTCCTCCTCCACACACCCCTGGTCAAAGCTCTCATGAGTGACTGCAGCAAGACAACCACACGCAGTGCATCAAGCATAGCCTCGGGAAAGCTTCCCCTCACATGTAGCTTCGCCTACCCCAATTTCTGACGAATTTATTTCGGAAAAAGAGGCGCATCGTTCTCCTAATCTCTCGACTCATCACTGGTCCGGTATAGGACCACAATGCTGGAGTCATAACTCGGGGTCTTCTTGCCTCGCAAACGGCCGCCATGTACCGGTACTTGTGACGGATGCTTGTAGCTGCGTGCATACACCCCTTTGAGACTCCAACTTCTCCAACTGCCTGTCATAGGCTCAGCCTGCATCACTCATCCTCTCTCGTCAGCATGGTCTGTCTCGCGTCATATCCAGTTAACCGACCTTTGCGGTCTGGCGTCCCGTACTTGTTAGCCGCGGGACCTCGGGCAACAGTGGTTGGCTGCACAGCCAGCAAGGTGGTTTCGCTGCACCACCCAGGTCGTTGGCCTTTTACATGAGTAACGCAGCGTAGTTGTGTATAATGTAGTATTCTGTATTCACATGCTATTGTGTGATTTGACTTCCTGCTTCATCAATAATCGCTTTGTACATCTAGCGAATGCTGTTTCCCAATATCTTGTCTCTATCAACACCACCTTAATGGCGAGAGCCTGTCGAAAGGCCGTCCGAATTGCAAAGTTAATGGCAAAGTCCTAACGCTCAAGACCGTGTCCTGCGTGGTATATGTAAGGAAAGGAACAAAACCGCCCCTATTGTCTCCCCTCTCAAACCTGGAAAGTAAGTCCAAATGGCACAATATGTAGAATCAAATGCAAAGCAAAGTTGCGTGGTCTCCGGTTCTCTCTGGCTCGAAAAAAATAAAAAAATA